TTAATTAAACATATCGACTTCTTACGCGATTCATGTACAGCATTTGTTTTTTTCCGACCCATTTCTTCTTTATACACTAAGAAGACCAATGAACTAAAAATAAACTAACAAACTAATTGTATACTAATAAAGTTCAAAAATCTTTCTCTGTAGTGTATTCGCTCAATACTCGGGCATTAGACTGATGAGCCCCCACGTGTCGTTACGGTCTCGACGATAAATTCTTATTGTTTTTTATATTCCACGTCTACCGTATGCTCGACCTCCCTGCTATCCCTTTCTAACATAAGGCAGGCGACAAAGGGCAGCCGGTTGATGTTGCGACATTCGGCGTTCGAGAGCGTTCCGACGACTGTAACTTTTGTAACATTGTATTCTTTTACACTCGCGATCACACTATACATATTACCAGCAAAATGCTGGTACATGATTACTTTCATTTCGATACTATATCAGTTTCGGTATAACTTTCCTAACATAATACCAGTAACAAAATAATACCGCTTTTAAATAACTTCTTGCAAATATCTGGAAAATTATAATACAACAGGAAAACCGAAACATTACGGATTAATATCGATAAATATACCGGTATTTCGGTTTCTATACGGGTTAGGAAGGTACAACCGAAAAATGCCGGTATAATACTTCGGTAAAAGTCCCTGTTTGAAAGACATTAACAATTTAACAAGTACGATTAGAATAATTGAGGGTAGAATGTTTTTATTAAGAACATTTAAAGTATGTTTGGAAACGTTTTAAATACATGTTTCAATAAAAATCGTTTCCAATGAGATACTTAACACAAAATAATTTTGCTGTACAAATGTGTGCTGCAACTGCTACAATTTTTGAGCGAAGTAACTTTTTGCGAAAACTGTAACGAACTTAAATCATATGTTAAATACAGAAAAGAACGAGAAAGTACTAAGCCTTTTGAAATAATAAACAAAATTTGTTTAATTATCGATATTCATATTTATGAAAAAAAATTACCCCTGTAATGTAAAATAGTACCCTTATTTTACTTCCTTTACAGAAAAAACGAATAATTATTCATCAAGAAACAGACAAGAACATTGCGATAAAAAATTTTGCTCGCATTGTTTTCAGAAATTGATTGCTTTTTTTTTTATAAAAAATGCCTTGGGCATGTAACATTGTTGGATAATTGTTTTCTATCACAAATTTCTGTATGAAATATAAGTATTATAACTATAATATGGATAAAATAACTATAAATAAAGAAACTGTGTGCATCAGTTGTTCTGAATACAACGAATGGATCTAGGCATAGTTGTTCATTGTTTTATACCATTACACTGATGCATTGTGGACTCATTATGCGAAACGTTACTCGAAATGGAACCCCTGGGGTTAATTAAATCAACGTGAATTGTCGTGTCATTTCTTCGCGCGCCATTAAAATTATAAACTCGAATTGGCGCACGTGTCTCTAGTAATTTAGCTTGTTAAATTAACCCCCTCGTGTAGTATATCGTGTCAAACGTTTTAATGCAACGAATTCCCCCAATCACCACCGAAGTGAAATATTACCTGGGTTATTCATTCAAGACAAATGAAAATTACAACGATGTCAGTCGATTATTTTTTATCTTTTGCACGTAATCTTAAATCAATAATATTATGAGGAAAATGTTACAGTTACGTAAAAGAAAAACGTGGAAAACTTTATTACAAGTATAATATTTCATAAATAATATTATTCTTATCTTTTTAATCACATTGTTCACTGCCGCCAACAAATTGTTGAAGATTAATAAGTTTATAATGAATTTTCTATCTGTCGTTCCAGTTTAAGAAATAAATCATGTGAGAAGTAAGATTTGAACGACAACCTTAAACCTAAAATTACTAGTAGAAGCACAAATAACAATTTATTTTATTTACTTTTTGTATTAGAAAATATTGACATCCATATTTGACTAAAAGATAGAAAAGGAAGAGTCTATTCTACGCATTTTTAACCAAATAAAAAGATATTGAAGGACAATGCCCCTATAATTCATGAAGAATAATAACCATTGATGATAATATGCTACTTTAGAGTTTACTGTGTCCGAATTATTAGTTTCCATGAAATTGAAAATAATTAATAACAGACAGACACATGAGCTAATTAATACTCAAATAGATGCCTACACAATTAACTTTCAACATCAATTTATTCGAAAATGTAACCAAGTATACAAAACTTTTATTATACATTCTTGACTTATTTTCTGACCCTCGTGCGCTGTTCGAGCCAATTTGACGCGAACTGAGATTTTAATTTATAATTATACCTCCCACCAGAGAAACTTGAGTAAAGACAAATTTATAAGAGAAACTTGTAGATTAATTTGACACCAGTAGTGTGTGTTAAGACAAATGTTCAACAATTAACAACTTGAAAATGAAGCCTTGAACGCAATTTCGTCTTAACTTGGCTGTAAAATCCACCCTGTGGAAGAGTCCCACATTTTTATTAACACCCTGTATAACGATCAAGCAATCTGTAAATATATTTCCTTAATTCCATGTTAGCTTAGACCAAGTTCAACTCAAAGAATAGAAATACAATTTATTGCACAGTGCACAAGGGTTAACTTAAAATCATCCAGTTTTAAGTTCCACCATCACTAATCTTTATTAGTTGTGATTTTCATTCATATGTTATGCCATTATACATACTTAAACTATCGGCCAAATGTATGAAAGTTTCATAATGAAACCAGGTCTGACAATTAAAGAAAGAAAAAAGCATTATTGTACAACGATCTTATAAAAGTAATGTGCTAAAAAACTAAAACTGATTAAAAATGATTTGTATATTTACCAGTCTCATAACTTTTATTCCTTATATGGTAACAGAATAATGAGTTACTGTTCCATCAATCATCAGCCCTGGTCCCATAACTTTGATCGCTAGGGTATATACGACAAGTGTAATTTCGAATAAACGCGGAAAAGTTCGTACGACCGTAGATTTCGAATAAAGCATCAGTTAACAAGCCTCTGGAGGCACGGTAAGAAAAGGGAGGTTCTCCCGTAAGCCGTATATATCAAGGGTGTTAACTGCTGTGGACGGGATACTTAAATACCCCCCGACATTTAAATCGCATCGAACATTTGGCCACACGGTGCATTAGTCCTGGTAGAATGATCATGGATATAGGACCAAAGGGATGCTCTGCGCGGGGTGTGGACTTAAGTAATGAACGCGTTCACGGGGTGCGAATATTAAATTACAAGTGACTGGGCATGGTGCACCGTAACGCAACGTGCAGGATGATGCACGTAATCCCTGACGAGTAAACAATTCCAAAAATTACACAAAAAAATAACACGTAAAGAATAAATAAAATAATAATGATACGAAAATAACCTAAAGAACTGTGTAATTAATCGAAGCTAAATTCTTGGATATACTTATAAATAACTTTCACCGTAGACGTTGAAAATTAGTAAATATTATTTAGTAAATAATAATTAAATGGTAATGGTAATAAACACGAATAAATTGAATAACCATTAAGGAGTTCAATAATGATTGAAAGAGTATAATACACTTTTATATTGACCCTGATATGCCCATAATTGTTTTTTAAAGTATAAGTTTTACTTTATAATGTTATTCTATTTAATGTCATTTACAATGTTTATATTTTTAAATATTTATTTAATTCTATTTTTATTTTAATGTTTAAGTCTTTTTTTTTTGTGCTCCTTATTGTTAAGCAAGCCCTATGTGCAGGTAATTTGTTTGTTACCTCTATAGTATTTATGTAACTGTAAATTTACTGGTTATAAATAAATAAATATTTTAGGAGGAATCATCTGAATTTTTAGTGTGCTTTTTAAGAATTATTAGTAACCGGTGTCACCTATCATTCGACTGTGCAACTTCAAAAATAATAAAATACAGACACCTGTTAAGTGTCCTTATATTGAAACGGTGGGTTAATTGTAAAATGAAGTGGAACGATTGTACATTTAAAGTAAATAAACGGAAATTATCTATAATGTTTTGAGGGACATATTTCTCGAACAAATTAACTTTATACTAGACCACAATGCGACTGCATCAATTAGTACATTTAATTTTTTCAGATAAATTTCATAATATTATCCTCATTTCTTGATACTGTCTGTGTTTAAATATCTAAATTTATTATCTAATTTTCGTAAGTTGCTAATAGATATAAATACGTATAACTTAACAGTAACTAACGAATCAAATGCATGACACCACAGAATCGTTACAAAAAGGCTTGTTTACAACTTACCCATTTTATCCCATTAATGACGACTACCTTTTTTTACAATCGATTTTCCAATGATCATTGGACAGCTACCGTCACTTGGTACCATAAAAAAGAAACCACTTGTACGCTGGTACATTTCCACACCGTTCAATGATTAGACATTCATGCAACAAACGTGTTAACTCTTTGAAGCATAGTAGTATGAAAAATGTCCCATTTTTTTAGTGCTTGAACATGCATGGTGGGACGGTAATCAAAATGAAACTATGTTGTCACATTACACAAAAATAAAATTACTGTGCAACAACACACTTTTTTGCCATAAAATCCTATGCTTCAACGAGTTAAACCAATTACATACTGCAAACCTTCAAAATAAAACAATATGGTGGCGGTTCATAATGCATCTTCCTTAAGCTAATAAAACCAAGACAGAGTCGTTTAAAAGCACGACAGATTGGGAACAGTATGTACGGAATAGCGGAAATTCAATCACGCCATTGCCTCGCATTTTCACGAGTTCCACGTCCAATTTGTACGATATATTGCCGGGCCCACGATGACGTCCGTCCCTTGGTCGTTCCTGCACCCCATAAATACCCAGAAACCACATAAACTGACCGTTCCGAGTGCCTCGGGTCCATCTACGTGTGCGCCGAAAATTCTCGTGAAAGCCCCCTCCTCCTCGCTGTCCGGTGGATCCCGTGTCGAAGAGAGACAAAAGTTACTTACTCTTGCGGCGAGCTGCGGAGGATACGCCCCACAAGGGTTGCTACGGCTCGCCAGTGTACACAAACCACCCCTGATAGAGCTAAATAAAGAGAACACTCCTGGACAGATTACTGCCTAAGTGCCTTGATACTCTTTCCTTAAGTGGTTGCTTCTTCTTCTTCTCTTTTTTCTTTCGTTTCTTTATTTGTCCAGTTGCAACGGAATTGCGTGCATTTCTGGACGCGAAGATTTATACTCTGCAACGAAATGCAGGTAGCGTTACAACGATAGAGAAAGTTATGGTTGTATAAGGTCAATGTCCCTATTTCTAATCACATCCCCATTTCTGCTCAGTACGTATGTTTTTCATTTAATATAAAAAGTTAAATAATAAATTCGTTATACAGAAAATTATTTAAATTAGTTCAGTATTTCCGTACAAATGCTACAGCCCGCTGTTCAATAAATGGCAGCATTTTAGTAGAAATAAATTTAATAAGTGTACCGTCGTAAATAAACGTGTTGTGAGCGGTTCCGTTGCGATTGTGAGTTTAACGGGGATGCTACGTTTTCACTAAAAACAAAACTTACGGAATCTTCAATATTGTTCGCCAACGTTCGGTGTTGGCACTTACATTTTCGCTGAGCAGAAAGGGGGACATTTTATACTTCATATTACATGAACTATTAATAAGTTAAAATTTTTTTAAAATGTAATTATAAAGGCAGGTTTAAATTTTTTATCTAGTACGTTTTGTTGTCGATTGTTGCATAAATAAATCATAAAAACCAATTTCTGCGATAGCAAAACTCTTACATGATTAGAAATAGGGACATTGATTTTATACATATACATAGAGTGAAAGTCAAAAGTGGTAATTTAGTAAGTTTTTCTATTAGCGACGAAAACTGATTTTTTTATTTTGGTTTTCGTGACGAAGTCTCTGAAAGTGAAAATTTTGCATAAACGATGCATTATATGCATAGATATTTGCGTAAATTAATCTGTAACAATAGGTATTACATAAAAATTGCGTTTTATGATCACGATTTCTCTATATTAGGAAATAATTTGATAAACTTCGACAAAGTTCTCCATTTCATTATATGTAAGAACTTTCCGCAATTACGTATTCTATGTGGGACGAAAATATTGTCACTTTCAATTTGTTTTATCTTTAGTATTTTTTAACATCAACTTAAAACTTTAATATGTGTTCAAAGTATTCTGATAGAGAATTAAAAGCTGTATAAAACCCAGTATATTAAGGTTTTAAAAGAGAAAATCGATAAAGTGGTGACTTCTTTATTAGCTACGGTAAATGCATAAAATCTGCAGTCGTAATAAAATATGTATAAATAACATATAAACAGCGTATTTGTTTATTTAAGTATACAGACACGTTTTGTTCAATTTCCAGAAATCTGAATTGTTAGAACTGTATATATTTTAGCTGGCAAACGATTGTGAACAATCTTCGATGATACGGCGAATTTCTTTCAACCCCTACAGAAAAAAAATGTTTCCAATAAAGACAAACAGTTGAACACCCCCGGAATGGCGTCCGTCACGGTTCACAGCTCAAGGAACAATAAGAATTTATTACGCAAAAAAGAGCACTGCGGATGATGACATTTATAATCTTTCACAAGGAGCATAGATCAACGATGTTTTTGCTCGGCTTACAGGGGCGTCGTCCGACACTGAATTCGATTTTAATTATTATTAATTGCCCCTCGTCACCGAGGGGGGATTCTTGGTTCTTAGTTTCCTTGTTCGTTAATTAATCTTTAATCCCAGTAGATATAAATATTCCATTTCTAGTAAAAAAAAGATTATTGCATACTATCATATTATATTACTTTATCTAAATATTATTTCTCGAACTCTTAAAATGCAAAATTAAACTTGTATATATATATATATTTATCTATAAGTCATTAAACCTATTATTAAATATGTAATAAGAACGAATTAATTTATTGTTATTAAATCGAATCTTTTTTTATCGTGAACACTCTCAAATGTCTTTTGTATCGATGCGTTTAACTGAACCACACAAACCTGAATTAGTTGTGGTAGTGATAACTACACTGCGAAAGTTTATGTAAATTTACAATTTCAGACACTAAGTATTTAACGCTATAACTACCAAACCCGTCAAAATAACGGATTACATATTTATGATTTTTCCATTATTGAAATTATAATAGTGCTTTTGACGGAATTTAGGCTGACTGTTAATTTAAGACAGATTTTATTTTCTGGTATATTATGCTAGATTGTCTTATATATTCTGTATATTATTGTATTATATAATTTAATTTAATATACATTCAATGCTGGTAGTTCTAGTGTTAAAAATTGAATTTGGTACACGATGTGCAAAATGTGCTTTATTTAGTGAATAATAATACGTAAACCGAATGAAACTTTATTACAAACTTTATTCGGTTGCATTTTCCAAATTAAGAGATTCCATAAAATGCTGAACACCATCAGTCTAGAAATAATGAGTCTAAAGTGATTTTAATTACATTATATTTGGACACGATCTTATTCTAAATTGTTAGTTCTATATATGTATAACCATCACAATAACTGGTGAATATATGTAATGAAAAACATAATTAAGAACACAGAATAAATAAATGCATTTAATAAGAAATAGGATAAGCAATGAATAATTAATGATATATTGTTATTGTATGGAAATGAACATATAAATCTTACACTTACAAATAAATATATAATTAAATGAACATACCTACTTGTCATGCTTATATCGTACACTGTTATATATTCACGACACATCAACATTTTTCACCGTACAGCACAAGTGAACTAAAACATACCGATTGGAAACACTACATATATTTTCTTCGATCTGACACGTACCAAGGTCCACGACCGACTAAATGTTCGTTTCTCCTTGCAGGTAGGTTAAACTTTACCAGGTATATAGTAAACAAACTGGATTCCCAAATGATTGTAATATAGAATAGTAAAGACACAAACGAAGGTGATGACCATTTAGGTGAGACAGGGACAGAGACAGTTACCAGTCCAATACCTGACTTGTCTCGTTAGACGGACCGTAGTTATATGTAATTCCCAAATTACGTAAACAACTACAATATATTGCTGTAAAATAAAAAGAAAAATTTCTTCTCCTCATTTTAAGATTATCGTTATTAACCATTATCGATCTAAAGATGTATTTACTGCGAATTATTAAAAGTATTAATCTTTCATTAAATTTTCCTTACTTACTTCTAGTTTATCAACACTGCAACACCGATAATAATAACTAGATACCGTGGATATTTATTACAGTGGCATTTCTCCTACAAGATTAGGGAAATATGTCACATGACAAACTTGTCATTTTAAAAAATTTACATAGAAAAATGTTTCCGATCGGTAGAAATACTGGAAAAAAGTTTCCGATCAGATTTTTTAATGTGAATTATTTAAGTAGTAATATTTTGTTATGTCCCCATGTGCACGTATTACTGCTTTTATACGTTCTGACATCGAATTAAGAAGATTTTTACAATCCATAGGTGAGATTTCTTCCCAAGATATTCGTATAGCCTTTCGAATTTTTTCTTTATTTCGTGGCTTTTTCTCGTCGATCAGTTTTTTAAGTTTTGCCCATAAGTTCTCAATGGAGTTTAGATTGGGACTATTCACTGGCCATTTCATTGTTTTAATGCCGTTATGCCGTAAATAGTCTTTTCCCACTTTGCTGCGGTGGCAACTGGCATTATCATCTTGAAAAATAATATTTGATGAATCTTCAAACCAGTTTTCAATGCTGGAAATTAAAAAATTTTTTAAAATTTGAATTCACATTCTGAAGAAAAATGCATAATTTGCCTACCCCATTCTCAGTCATACAACCCCAAATCATGTAGGATTGTGGATATTTTGGTTTAAAATTTAAGCGATCTATGCGAAACTTCTCATTAGACCTTCACCAAACAAATGTTTCTGTATCATCTCCTGTTGCAATGCATACACGTGACTCGTCACTAAATATCACATTATACCAGTCCTCCACGGTCCAATGTGCATGCTCCTGACACCATTGTAAGCGTTCTCTCTTTTGCTTCTTTGTAAAGTAAGGTTTTGCTTTGGTTTTTCGAAATGAAAAACCCATCTCATGTAATCGATTTCTGACAGTACGATCAGAAGTATTTTTTACCTACTCTACATTTATCTGCTTCGAAGTTGCTCGTCTCATATTTGTTACAATTTTACGTAATTGTCGATCGCCTCTACTAGTTGTTGCTCGAGGGCGGCCACATCTTTTGCAGTTACAGACACTTTCCGTTTCTTCGTACTTCTTTTTTAAATCGCTAACTGTGCTGTGTCTGCATCCTATGATTTCTGCTACTTTCCTTTGGCTATTTCCTTCCTTGAGAAGCTTGATAATTCTTAATTTTATGTCATTAGAATACTCTTGGCGTGGTGGCATGTTGTACCATTCCACACTTTTCACTTGTATACCGAATAGAATAGTATGACTAACTACATAACTGACATTTCAGAGGTGACGAACGTCTGTTTACATGTCTGTAGTTCCCTCTTGTGTTTTTATTTATCTTTCATGCTTCATACATTCAAGGAGCTACTTATTTGAGCCATGATCGGAAACATTTTTCCATGTACCATTTTATTTCTCCTTTTGCTTCCTTTTCATAACAATTGGAAGTTTGTGTTATTTTGTTGTTATTTACTCTATACTGAACTTCTCTTTATTCCCCATTACTTTTAACTACATCTATTAATATTTAACAGTTTTAAAACATGAATGTTTTTAGTAAGTTTCGTGTTTATGCGTCTGATCGGAAACTTTATGCCAGGGGTTGTATTTCGTTAACCAAACGCTGTAGACCCGTAAATAAATTACTATTATTATGTTTCAGCGAAAATTCCAGTAAAGAAACGACATTACACACGTAATGACCCGATATTTATATCCATCACTCGATAAATCGTGGAATAATCGTCGAGCCTCGACCTATACGATTTAATATCGAGCATAACCGACCGGTTGCATGAATAAAATCAGGGGACAGAGAACGAGTCGTCGAGGGTATGATCCCGCAACGAACACCGATAACACGATCTACGACAAAACATCCCGGAACCCCGAGCGAATGTGACTCCCGAAACGGCTCCGTTACGGACCCCTACCCCGAAAGTGTGGCTTTGCTTTTAATCAATCGAATCGATGTACGCGTTTCGGCAATTCGATCAGCCAAATCGTTCGTGGAATTACGTCCCCGGCGGATCTAAATCATCCCCCGTTTCCACGAGGACCGGTTACATAAATCGCCGCGCAGCGGGGCCATTGGTCCACATTTACACCTCGCCTCCATATATCTATATGAATCTATTAGATGATAACCGACTCCACCCTTGCCGATGTACACACACGCTCGTGGCAGGAATGTATTTCGATTTGTCACAGCCGGTATCCGGTGCATTCGCTCGAACAAGTCGCACTATCGATGATTGGACACGCAGAGGCGAGCTTCTGATTTATTGGACGCAAGTCACGTGACACGCTTTAACCCCGCGTGCGAGAGAAAAAAAAAAATTTAAATGAACCGCGAACAACCCCTTTTGTCTTTGTATATTTTTGTAGACGATAGGATAATATATAAATGATAGGGTTGTTGAAACACTTAATTTCTGAATTTCTAAGACTACAGAGTAATTACTATTCAGTTCGGTTTATACTTGTGTGTTTAGTTCACAAAATGGGAATGGTGCAGCACCTGCTTGCAGGTGTCGTACTGATACTGTGACTCATAAAGTTTCTTCACGAATGGTACTCAGTTCTGTTTGATCCAATTATTAACCAAAATGCGAATTTTATTTCAACATTAAGAGAAATTTGTCACAAAACGATTATAAAAGTAAGGTAAAAGCTGTGTTTAGGGGATGCAGCTCCGATAACCTTGACCTTCGCATATGTTGTTAAGCACACTCTTTTTAGTAACCTCGAAGGAGCTTTAACCGTCGCTCGGTTTTTATTAAAAAGTTATTAGCAAAAACTGTTCAGAACATATAACAGTTATATTATGTAGGTATTGAGAGGCAACTGTTCCTAACCAACTCTGAATTACTTTTTTCTTGAACTGTCTCTAACCAACTCCGATTAGTATAATGCTTCAGAGTTGATTAGAGACAGTTCAAGAAGAAAAATAATTCAGAGTTGGTTAAGATTATTTAAATGTCGTTACAAAATTTTTGGGTAAAATTAATATCGCAGTATAATCTAAAACAAAACAAATAGACAACAAACAAAACAAGTATTTTCGACGATTTATAATGTAAAAAACGAGATCAAGCATATCTGGCTACGTACGGCCTTTTCCACTGTGGCATTCAACGTGTTATTGACGTTATTGTTACTACATCAAACGGAATGATATTACTGAATTACAGCTCTCAGTATACTAATTCTGAGTTTTACATATTCGCGTTTACTGAAAAGACGTAAATACTTACGTAATTATTATGATCATTATATGAACATCTACGTGTGTATATAAATAAAAAGAAGTAGAAATAGTAGCGTATAATAAGGATGAAAAGATACACAAGATACAATACAGGACGAAATTGTAATGAAGTGTGAAAAAACGAGTTTGAGAAATAAAAATTATACACACCGAAAAATATTGTGAACTGTACAGAAGAACTAATGCCTACATGTATATTATTTAAAAATTGTAAAAGTAATTTTTCAACTGCTACATCCCTCACATAAGTGTCATTTTACGTTATTATGATGTAACTTTAAATGGACACAAAAGTAGAAGTGTTTATAAGAAAGAAGCAAAAACATATCTGAGAAATGGATGGTTGAATTTAATATTTCATCTTACACGAGGCATTTTAACATTACGTATAAATTCAAGTGTAATCGAGAACTTTTTGGTGAAAAACTGATTTTATTATGTTCTTCTGCATGCCTAAGATGTTTTCAGAACTCCTGCACACTTTTACATGGAGTTTATCATGCTAATGGGTCACGTGCGCCATTTTATCGCAGCGAAGGTCGCTTCAACTTTTGCTTACACAGTAAAGTGGTACTAATTTTTTTCTAAACTGTTAGTTTAAGGGAGACTGTTTTTTCATCCTTTATATTTCCAACGAGTATCCACTTCGTTATGATAACAATCTCAGTCTGAGAAAACATAAAACGTTCTTGTCAACAGAATACTACAGCTTTATCGGTTAAATTAGTGAAATAGAATTATCAATGATTTTTTGATAATATGGTCCAAATTTTATAGCAATGTAATATACCAGTGAATTAAAAAGAATTCATTCCCTAAAAAATGTTAAAATAACAGTAAAACGAATAACGTTTTCAAAAAACTTTACGAGGCAAAAGTCTAATCTTTTTTGGTTATATGATAAGGAATAACAATAATATAATATAACATTCCTAAATATGTAGGATTTGATCAAACAAATTAACTTAAAATAGAACTATTGTCTTAGCCAAACTTAAAGACATAATAAATCCAAATAATAAAAGGTTTTGAAACCTAAAATAGTCCAATGAAATATGTATATATACAATACGTACATGCATATTTCACTACTAAATTTAACTTTTAAAGTATTGGTCAAAGAAATTAAATATAGGAGAGTCTAGTAACAGTTTCTATTAGATCAATCGATAGAACTTATGAGAAAATACGATAAACGTAGGTATCCATTTGAAATATTAAAAACTGCTTCCTTAACGAAAAACCATTGATGGATCTGAATAAAGACGATTTATTCCCAAATATCTATTACATTAAATTGTCACACTATTGTTTTTTAAACCAAAGTAATACCCAATATT